CGACCCCGGCCCCACGGGCGGACACTCGGCCGGGCAGCCGCGGGCCGCGCGCAGCCGCCTCCGCCGCCGATGCGCCTGGTGGCCAGACTCCAAGTGGGACCGGCCGACACGCAGGCTCGCGGTAAGCTCAGCGGGGACTCCCCGCCGCACGCTTCGCTCCCAGAACACATCCGTCTTTGCGAAATCTCCCCGGACTTCGGCGAACCGAGCGCCTCGGGGGCGGCGGGTGGGTGGGTGGTCGGGGTCCCGGGGAGCTGCGCGCCTGAGGCTGGAACGCGGGTGAGCGGCGTCTGCGAGACGGGGGAGGCTCGCCCGGGGCCCCGAGCCTTGGGGGGGGGGGCTGGGTGACAGGTCGCTGCTCCCTGGCCCCAAATCTTGACTTTTCCCGTTCGGGGGGGGGGGGGTTGGGGGTGGCGGGGGGGGGGACCGACCCGGGCATTTGGGATTTTGCTCACGTCCGAAGTCAGGCTGCGGCAGGACTGGGACGGGGGGGGGGGCAGGGGGGGTGCTTGGCGCCGGAGCGACCGAAGAGAGGAGCGCTTGAACCCGCCGGGGGTACCTCTGCAAGTTTTTTTCTTTTCCCTCCCGAACACCCTTTTTTAAAAAGCCAACGGCCGCCCTGGGAGAGGCCCCGGCGCATGAATCATCCTCGCTTCCTGCCCCCGCCCGGCCCCGCGCTCCGGGTGCCGCGGATTTGAACTGGACGCCGACGGGAACCCGCAAACAGGCATTTCTTTGCAGATGGGTTTGAATCAGCCAATCACAGCCCGCGGGGGCCCGCTCCGGGAGGATGGAGGCGCGGGGAGGGGGCCGCCACCCGGGGGCCCCCGCCCGGCCAGTGGGGGCGCGGCGACCGGGCCGGCTCCCAACGGCGCGGCAGGGGGAGGAAGTGTCAGTTTGTGAACCTGCCGCGGCCCGGGGCCCAGGCCCGGCGGGCGGGGACTTCACAGCGCCCGGGAGCCAGGTGGCAGGGATTCGGAGCGCATACCCTGCCCCAAGCCTGCGGTGCTCTGCCGTACAGAAAAGGGCAGAATGGGGGTGTGGGGTGGAGGGGAACATGGCCCCAGTGTCGTCTGGGGAGCCAAGACCCCAACAGTGCCCTGTCCGCCCCAGGGCCACTGAACAGGCACACACATGTATTTAATTTCACATATCCATTGACACACTGCCGCAGACATCATGAAACACAATCTCACAAGGGTTCACACGCACTGACACAGCAAAACACACGGGACTCTCTCCCTGTCTACAAATAATAAACACCAGGTGCCCCGTGCCATGGCAGAGAAGGAGGGGACCAGAGTCGGGGGTGCAGGGAACAGAGCAAGGCTGTGTTTGGCTGGAGAGTGTGGAGGGGCACAGAGCCAGGTTGAGCCCAGAGAGGGGAGGAGGGGGCCTTGGGGAAGGCTTCCAATGCCTGCGAAGACACTGCGGAGTCACAGAAGGATTCTGGAAGGGATTAATAAGAAAGGGAGAAATAAGAAAGAATTGGTGGCCCTGTGGAAGAGTCTGGTGGGGAGACAGGAAAGCAGGGAGTGACCTGCACTGGGTGCTGGTAGTCTCATTCCCCATCCCAGCACCCGGCATAAGTGAGCACAAGGCTCGGGAAACAGTTATTGAATGAATGAATGGCCCAAGCGAAAGAGAGGCCTGAACTCAGACCAGGACAGGGACGTGGAAAAGAGGGGCCAGATGCCAGAAATCCATTGGGCTTGAAGTTGGCCAACTGGCAACTCACTGGTTGGAGAAGTCTGAAGATGCCCAGGGTTTCTGGGGACCATTAGTGGTCCCATTAGCAGGAAGAAGAGAGCAGTAGGGCAGTAGCATGTTTTATAGGATGGTGAGAGAGACAGGTGCCGAGAGGGTGGCTTGTGTTGACTTACCTGCTTGCAGCACATTCGCATTTGAGTAAAAGCATAGAGTGAGTTTAAATGTCCCAGAAATGTGGTTTCCATTAAATCACCCCATAATTGAGAGCAGAAAGGGGGATTATGGAAGACATAGGTGGACCGTCTATACCTGTTCGCAAACCATCTAGGAGTTTTCCTTCCTAGGTGAGTTTCCTCTGGCCAGATCTCAGGGCAGGGGTTGGGTGGGGGGAGTAGGAGGTTAGCGAAGACTTCCCGCTGCTCCCCTGGAGAAGACCCTCCACTCAGAGAACATGTTTGCTTAAGGGATAAAGCTTCAGGCTCCTAAGTTTGGGAGTTCAGGCCTCCTGGGCAGGGAGACTGCTCTGTGGTTGGTTGAGAGATTCGTTCTCTTTAGAAGGCAGCATGGTATGGGTGGGAAGAGAGCAGGGTTAGAGTCAGCCTACCTGATTATGAGCCTTGCCTTGGCCTCTGCCCCACTGGCCACTTTCCCTTGCCAAACCTCAGTTTCTCTGTCCATAGAATGGGAATAAGAATGTCTCCCTCACAGGGTTGTCACGAGGATCCTGTGAGATAATCAAAGTGCCTGGCCCGTAGTACCATAGGCTGTGTAAGTGGTAGTCCCCTTCCTTTCCCGGATGGACTGCTGGAGCAGGGGAGCGAGGAGTGAAAACCCTCTTCTCTTTCTCTTCCAGCGTCAGGGGAAGCCGATGGAGAATCGCGCTCTGGATCCAGGGACTCGGGACTCCTATGGTGCCACCGGCCACCTCCCCAACAAGGGGGCCCTGGCAAAAGCCAAGAACAACTTCAAAGACCTGATGTCCAAGCTGACGGAGGGCCAGTATGTGCTGTGCCGCTGGACCGATGGACTGTATTACCTCGGGAAGATCAAGAGGGTAAACCTTTCCTCCCTGGCCCTAGGTCCCAGGTGCAGCCTCTGGCCTGGGCCTCCCTTCATGCCCCTCCTGCTCAAAAGATGACCGTGGAAGGAACCAGAACCTGCTTTTGCAGGTGCCATCCTTAGGGCCAACACCGTCCAACCAGGTCTTTAGAATAGAGCTCTGCGAGCCTACAGAACAAAACAAAATCAGGCTGGAGGTTATCTCAGATGACCACCTGGCCTGTGCTATCCTCTGCACTCCCACCAAGTTGTGGTCCCCGGGCCCCGGACTGCGGCCCCAGGGACTGGGTGCACGTTACCTCTGGAACTGCTGTCGTCCTTCCCCTTCCAGCCTAGCTCTGACTTCTGGGCCACAAGGAGCGGGTGTAATCCCTCTGTCCTGTGGGGACAAAAATAGGAGAGGAAGACCATGTCCCAATGGCTTTTCCCCAGCCACTGTCTCACGTTGCCCCTCCCTCTCCGTGCCCCAGGTCAGCAGTTCTAAGCAGAGCTGCCTTGTGACTTTTGAAGATAATTCCAAATACTGGGTCCTGTGGAAGGACATACAACATGGTGAGTACTCCTGAGAGCTCGGGGCTCCCCTGCCCCATCCCTGGCCCTCTCTCCTCCTCGACTTCCATGTTTTTTCCTTCTCTCCTTCTCTCTGGTACTCCTGGCATCTGGCCTTGTCCATGGAGCCCCGTCCCCCCACAAGCCCACCTGAGGGGATAAGATGACTAGTTGTGTGTTTACATGGAAAGGCACTTCTGACATCCGTCGTGCCCTTGATCACTCCCACGTCATGAGGGAGGCAGTCAGGTGGAGAAAGTGGCTTGGGAAGGCGCCGGGAGAGCTGGGATGGCATGTCATCCCCTGCTGCACAAAGCTGGGGATCAGTCTGGGGCTAGGAACGGGGGTGGAGGGGAGGGGCCCACGCAATCAAAACTGGCACCCCTAGATGTGAGCGCAGTGTGCCCTATCCACGTGTGAAGAAAACTAGTGGAAGCAGCCCTGGCCTAGGTGGGAAAGTCAAGAAAGCAGAGCTGGACCAGGCAGGGTGAAGATGGACATGCCTGGACGGAGCTGGACCGGCTTCGAAAGGGAGCCGGGTTGAGTGCCATCCCTGCACGCAGAGAGCTGACATTTTCCCACTCTGGCCACCACTCCCCCTTCCCACGGACACGACAGACACCACTCAGCAGTCCCAACACTCATACATTTCCAACATGGAGCTCCAAGTTTAGGTTCAGTAGATCTTGCGCCAAGTTTCAGCTCTGCAGCTTGCTAGCTGCACGTCCTTGGGCAAGTGACACCACTTCTCTGAGCCTCAGTTTCTTCATCTGAAGAAAGGAGGTGATGACATTAGTGACCTCGCGGGGTGGTGACATGAGACCCCAAGTATAGCACTTAGCCCAGCGCTACTGAGTTATAGGGAGGCACTTCCTAAAGAATTTGTTACTGTAAGAAAGGATTTCAAGGAGCCTGCCAAGTAGAGGCCACAGAACCCAGCCAGTTCGTAGAGGTTCCAAACCACCCCTGTCTCCAAGGTGTGGTGGCTGATGCAGACGTGGAGACTCTTCTCCAAGCCCCCCTCCCCCTGCACTCTCAATTTCTTCTACAAAGGTCCAAAGCGATGAGGAGCTCTTCTCTTGAGTTGGAGGCATAGGGAGCCAGCAGGTGAAGAAAGATGCCTTAGCAGACATTTGAGTAGAGACTCACCGTGTGCCGGACACCCCGGATGTGCTACAGGGCTCACCTGGGGAACAGCTTGTCTCCCCAGCCAGATAACTGTGCCTCACAGGCAGGATGGTGCCCCTTTGGCATCACCCAAGTTACGAAAGCACAAGGCTGAGTAAGCTGGAGTTATTGATTACTTAATTAAGCTTCCTACCTTATTGGCTGACATCAGTGGCTTACTTCCTTAAGCCAGTGAGGGCTTACTGCGACCCACAGTTGCATATTCAGGAATAAGAGGCAAGAGACCATGTATTCAACAGATGTGTCTTGAACACATTATGTGCTACACAGTGTATAAGGTCCTGGGGACATAGTGATGAGCAGATACCATTTCTGCTCTTAAAAAACTTTCAGTCCACTAGGGGGAACAAGACAGAAACATGTATCAGAATGTGTTAATTTATTCACTCAAACCTTTCACACATAAACACACATATTCTTTTTTTTTTTTATTCTTATGTTAATCCCCATACATTACATCATTAGTTTTAGATGTAGTGTTCCATGATTCATTGTTTGGACCCTGTGGTCCATGCAGAACACACATATTCTTTAACAATAACCAAAAAAAAAAAAAAAACTAAGAAAAAAAGATGAGAAAGAACCTGTAGATTAAAAGCAGTTGAGCATACCTAAAATTGTTATGACATTTTTATTTAACAGCTGGAAATGTGAACACTAATTGAATTTGTTGGTGATATTAAGAAATAGTTTTTAGTTTT